GGCCTTTGTCAAAGATGAACTAAGTTTTCTTGTCACTTTGGTTGAAAAATCTTTTGACTGTAAATATAAGGTTTTAATAATGGAATCTCTATTCTATTCCATTGATCAGTATGTCTATCCTTTGCCAGTAATACGTTGCTTATATTACTACAAATTTGTAGTAAGTATTGAAAATAGGAAATGTGAATTACTGAACTTCTTTTTCACCGTTGTTTTTACTCTTTAGGGCTCTTTGCATTTTATGTGAGTTTAGAATTAGATTGTTAATTTTTGCAATTAAACCAGCTGGAATTTTAATGTTGATTGCATTGAATCTGTAGAATAATTTGGGATATATTACCATCTTAATATTAAGCATCAATCTCTGAACATGGGATGTTTATCCATTTATTTTGGTCTTCTTTTAATTTATTTTAGTGATACTTTAGAGTCTTCTGTGTGTAATACTGGTACTTTGTCTTTTTTTCTTTTCGATATTTTATAAATGTAATTATTTTCCTAACTTTATAATTGTCATTGTTTGTCGACAAATACAATTTTGTATATTGATATTGTATTCTGCCATCTTGCTGAACCCATTTATTAGTTCTAGTTATTTTGGTGGATTCTTTAGGAAAAATTTTTATTTTCTATAATATATGCAAGATTATGTCATGAATGAATAGAAATAGTTTTATACTTTCCAGTCTGAATGCCTTTTAATTCTTATTTTTGCTAATTGCCTTGACTAAACACTGTGCAGTGCTGAATGGAAATTGTGAGAGCAAACATCCTTGTCTTATTCCTGATATTAGAGGAAAGCATTCTGTCTTTAACAATTAAATATGTTGTTAACTGTAGGTGCCTTTCATCAGGTTCAGGAAATTCCTATTGTTTCTAGATTGCTGAGTGTTTTTTTTAATCATGAAAGGTTCTTGGATTTTGTGATTTTTTTTTTTTTGCTTAAATTGTGATAATCATGTTTTTTTGTCTTTTTTTTTCTAGTTCATGGTGTATTATATTGCCTGATTTTCCTATGTTAAATCAATCTTACATCCCTGGAATAAATCCTACTTGTTTAAGATATACAATACTTTTTGACTATGTCAGATTCAGCTTGCTAGTTTATTGTTAATGAGTTTTTGTCCATATATAGGGATAGGGGTTGTACTTGTGAGTGCGTGTGTGTGTGTGTGTGTGTGTGTGTAAGAGAGAGAGAGAGATGTCTCAGTACATTATTTTAAATTGTAACATATGCAGAACATAAAATTTACCATTTTACAGATTTTTTTTTCTGAGAGATTTTTGCCTTAGGGTATATGTGTGCTCGCCAGAGAGATAGAGACAGAAAGCAAGAAATCACCCCCTGGGGGATGGCCACACTGCAGTCCCTTCCCCTCCATTCTCTTCTCAGGATTTTGGGCACACACACACACACACACGCACCCGGCGTGAGGTTTAAGCAACAGGGTCTGGGACTCAAACTACGGTAGACTTCATGGGAGTCCAGCAATAGAACCATTACACCATCTGCTGGTCTCTAACATTTTCCATTTAAAATGGGCAAAAAAGAGTGCAGTTATATAGCGTTGAGTACATTCACATGGTTGTGCAGCCATCACCACTGCACATCTCCCAAACTTCCTCATCCTTCTCAGCTGAAATAGCACTCGTTAAAAACTAACTTCCCATTTCTACCTCCCCTCCAACTTTGACAGCCACCACTCTTTCTGTCTATGAGTTTGACTATTCTAGGTGCCTTATATAAATGGAATCACGTATTTGTCTTTTTGTGGTTTGCTTATTTTTCTACGCAGCATATCTTTGAAGTTCATCTATATTGTAGCATAGATCAGATTTTTTAAGGCTGAGTAATATTCCATTCTGTGTGTATACCACTTTGTTTATCTGTCAGTAGATACTTAGATTGCCTCTACCTTTTCACTATTGTGAATGATATTGCTGTGAACACAAATGTACAACTATCTCTTCAAATCCCTTCTTTCTTTTTGCCCTTTTGGCTATATCAAGTCATCGAGAAGACATGACGTGTTTTTCTGTTTTTTTAATTCAAAAATGCATCACAACTTTTCTGATGACCCATTATATCCAGAAGGGGAATTGTTGAATTATATGGTACATCTTTTTGATTTTTTTAATGAACTACCACACTATTATCCACACAGTTTTATACTCCCATCAACAGTGTATGAGATTCTACTTTACCCACTTGTCAACACTTATTTTCTGTATTTTTGGTAAGGCCATCCTAATAGATATGAAATGTCTTTGTCTGCCCTTAACATCAGGGTAATACTGATAAAGCAAGTTGAGAAATATTTTTTCCTTATCTATTTTTGGAAGATATTAAAGGATTGATGTTAATTCTTTAAATAGTTGATAGAATTCACCAGTAGTGCCATCTGGTCCTGGTTGTTTTTTTGTTTGTTTTGGTTTTTGTGGGAAATTTTCTATTACAAATTGTTCTCTTTACTTGATATAACTTCAGATTTTCCATTTCTTTTTGGATCAGTTTAGATGGTTTATGTTTTTCTAGGAATTCGTCCTTTTCACCTAGTTTATCTAGTTTTCTAACATTTAATCATTTATAGTATATAATCATTTCTATTTCTCTAAACTCAATGATGGTATTTCCCTTTTCATCTCTGATTATTATCAAATTTGAGTCTGTTTTTCTCTTAGTCTAGCTAAAGATATGTCCATTTTGGGGTTGGCCAGAGGCATGGTGGTTAAGGTGGGCTGGATCCATGTGGCCAAGTATGTGGTTCAAGTACCAGATCCTGTAGCTTGAAAATCATTCTGGGCATGTGTGTGTGCCCAAAAATCCCAAGAGGAGGAGTTGGAACTGTGGCATGGCCATCCACTAGGGGGTGCTTTTTCACCTTCTCTTTCTCTCCAGTTATCACAAACCTAAAAATAAAATAAATAAATATTTGTCAATATTGTTATTTTCAAAGAACCAACTTTTGGTTTCAGTTATTGTCTCTATTATTTTTCCCTTCATTTATTGGCACTTCAATCTTTATTATTTCCTTCCTTCTGCTTGCATTGTGTTTAATTTGCTCTTCTTTTTGTAGTTTCCTAAAGTAGGACATTAGATTATTGACTTGAGATCTTTTTAAATATAGGCATTTACAGCTAAAATTTTCTCTCTAGTCACTGTCTTCACTGCGTGAGTTCTGTTATGATATATTGCTGTGTATTTTATTTATGACAGAGTGAATGCACACACATGAGAGACAGAGAGAGAGGGAGAGAAACACCCTCCAAGAATATTGGTCATGTTTTAGTCCCCTTCCAGTCCTCCAGCCCGCCAGGGTCCTGGGGAATACACATATGGAATCAACTTTTTAGGCCAACCAAGCCAGGGCCTTGAACCATGGTTGCTGTGTGACTTCCTGCTTCCAGCAGTCTAGTACTGACTGTGCCACAGAGGCTAGGCCTTGTTCTATTTTCATTCTCATTAATCTCAAAGCCTTTTCTAACTTTCTTGTTGTATCTTCTTTGACCTGTCAGTGATTTCAGAATGTGTTCATTTTCACTCATTTTTGAATTTTTCATATCTCCTCCTGCTATTGATGTCTACATTCTATTATGTAGTCTGAGAGCATACTTTCTGTGATTTCAATCCTTTCAAATTTGTTGAGGATTATTTTACAGTCTAGCATATGCTCTATCTTGGAGAATGTTCCATGTGCACTTGAGACTCTCTGTTCCACTGTATTTGGATAGAGCGTTCATAAATGTTTCGAATGTAGTTGGTGGATAGTATTGTTCGAGTTTTTCACTTTGTTGTTGTTGATCTTTTTCCTGGTTCTGTTTTTGAAAGTGAAACATTAAAGTCTCCAAGTCTCCATTATACATTTCTCTCTTCAGTTCCGTCAATATTTACTTCCCATATTTTGGATCTCTCTGTTAGATGTGTGTGTTTGTAATTATTATAACTTCCTAATACATTAACCCTTTATCCAGAAAAAAGTAGCCTTCTGAGGGCCAGGTAGTAGAGCAGTGGTAATGCAACTGGACCCGCAAGGGAAAGATGCTGGGTTTGCACGCCACGACCTCCCAAAGAGGGCCAGGTATGAACACGTGCCTGTAGTCTGAGCCAGCTGGGACGAGGTGGATCGGGGCCTGGGCACCTTGTTGGGGCTGCTTGTCTCTGTCTGTCTCTAGCATTTTAAGAAGGAGTGGGCAGGTCAGATACTCCTGAGAAGTAAGATAAGGACCGCAGCATGGGCACTGGATTTGCTGAAATTCGGTGGTGGTCTTAACAATTGGCACTTTGAGGGAGTAGGGCCTGTGGAATCCAGATTAGGGTGGTGTCAGAAGTGAGCAGACAGAGACAACAAATATAAATATCTCTTTGAAGACATTTATCCCTTCACTGAAAAAAGGGAGTAAGGACAGGTGGCTGTAGAAGAATGTAGGATTGATATTTTATAAGGAGAAATTGAGAGTTCATTTTTGAAGAAAGAGATGAAAGTCATCTTCTGAGAGAGGGAATAAGGACACCAGAATGACAAAATTTGGGACTGTGTGAGATATTCTTGGTGAAAGATGTTATTATGAGAAACAGGTGAAATCTACAGTATTATTGGTATTAAATCATTTGGTCTCAGGAGAAAATGATTACAGACATGAGGATGCATGTAAACAAGGAGAATGCGTTATAGAATGGTAGACTGCAGCAGAGTAAAAAACGTTGACTATGTAAGATATACTGCCCCCATAAAACCTGTTATCAAATGTGCATAATGTACAACATAGTATAGTGTTCAATATTCAAGAAAATGATTATGTCTATATCTGTGATTTGTGAAAAACCGTATCGTGCCCCACAAAAAAAATAATAAGTTATTTAAAAAAAAATTGCATGGATTGCAAATTTTGTATCAAAATAAACTACTTGCACTTTAATTCCAAAAAGAAAATAAGTTCTAGGTTTTTAGAGTAGGCTCCAATTAGTTTACTTATGCTTTATCTTAATCCTTTTTTGTCAGAAGAATGATGAAAATGGAAACTGCTCGGGGGAAGGAATTGAATTCCCTACAACAAATTTGTACGAACTGGAAAGCCGTGTTTTGACTGATCATTGGTCCATCCCTTACAAGCGAGAAGAATCATTAGGCAAATGCCTGTTGGCTTCTACCTACCTAGCAAGGCTTGGTAAGTTTTCCAACCTCAGATCACATGAGGACATTTTTCTCACGGAGGCCTAAGTTTAATCTTAGATCCTGTCAATGCCTGTCTCTGTGATCTCAGGCAGACCATTTATTCTCTTGGTCTTTGTTTATCCCCTGTGGAATGAAAGCTTCGAATTCAATCAACTGTTTTCTTCTAGCTTGAATAGAGTATAATGTTATTTAAAATATAATTGAAAAGCTTTATAGAAATCGAAATTGATTTTTCCACAAAGCTTGGAGCAATTTAAATTAAGGCTCAATTCAGTGACTTTTATTTTTTAATGGGAAGAAAATAATATTTATATGTTTATGTAACAAACTTGTGTTTATTAAGTGCCTGGCACTGTGTTCAGTGCTTTACAAATATTAAACTTATAGAATAAGAAACTATCACTAGGTAGAAGAATATGTGTCAGGATGAGGAAACTTCTACACTGTAAGTCTATAAAAGAAAATAATTTATTTTCATATTGAATTTAGTTATAGAAAATAAAATGAATAGGAACACTATTTTGTGTATGTGTTTTTTCTTACTAAGAATGTACAGTTTACTGCCACAATTAAAGGTGAGACACAGCAAAAGGAAATGTCTCAACCAGGATTAGATTGAGTTCTAATAGGCTCCATGGTACATTTATGACCGTTTCTCCACAGCAGCATTTCCTGAGTGTCTGTTAGGATCTAGGTACTGTGCAAGGCAGCATATCTGGGGGGGAGCGAGGGGGATATATATATATATTTATACATGTGTGTGTGTGTGTGTGTGTGTGTCAGAAGTATTGTCAGTGATAAGAAAAATCCATTATTGAGTTTAAGAAAGAAATGTGTCTTTCAAAGGATGATTTTACAGTGATTTCATTCATTCACTTAGCAAATATTTATCTCTTACCATATGAATTGAATCAGAAACAATTATGTGTATTTTTATTACAGAGAGTTTGTTTTCGAGAAGAGTGATTTGGGCATTTTTTAAAAATATTTCTGTTTTTGTAGATCTGTTTAGGAAAACAGCAATTGCTAGTAAGTAGTTGCTGGTGGTGTTTTATTAGCTCTTTAGTCAGATTATTGAAGTTACTCTGACACTGAAACATAAGTTCAACAGGTTGGGCTCTAATTAATATTTATTTAGACTAATGCAGTAATTGTCTCTCAAACTGTTCTTTCCTTGGAATATACATGTTCTACTTTTAATAATACCTTAAGGGTCAGTATTTTTATAATAGTTTATATGTATGAATTTGGAATGATAAATATGATTTCTATAGACCGTCTAAAAATCTAAGTAAGGTGTATCCTTTTATTTATTTTACTTAGGCCTCTCTGAATCTGATGAGAATTGTAAAAGATTTATGGATAGGTGTATGCCTGAAGCATTTAAAAAGGTAAGAATGATATGCTGATCTGATATTTTTGGTGGAGAGGAAGGTAGACAAGGCTTTCGTTTTTGTTTTTGATTGTAAAACATATCAATCTTGTTCAACTGATGAGTAATATGAAAGAAGTAGCTCTGAATTTGGGGTTTATGAATTACATGCTTCTATTTGTTTGCACATGTCTTCAGTTGAATATAACTTCTACTTCCTACTGTATAATTGCTAAGGAATAGTTGAAGATTTAATTTTACCAGGAAATTGGACATCTTAGTAAAATAAGGACTATGACACTTAGTATTTGTTTATCAAAATATGAGCCACTTTATACTTACTGTTTACTGAGAACAGATGCAGACATTTTATATTACTGTGAATGTGGCTGGATTGGGTGTTCCGACTGGCAAAGTGGCATGCAGATGGCAGCACACGGGCAGAGCCAGAGAGGTACTTGCTCCTACCCTGGTCACGTCCTTAGAAAGCAGGTCCTCTCAACAATGAGGAGGAGATCACAGGAGCCGTTTTTCTAAAAGTACTCTGACTCAGCTTTCCAGAACATGAATCTTCAGTCCTCTCAAGAGCAGGATCTGCGTCTGTCACAGACACTGCTGTTACCCCAGCGTATAACCACGTGACTAGCTCACAGGAGCTCAGTTATCTTTGTTGAATGAATGAGTAAATCCCATGCTGTCTTGTACTTCTGAATTTCAACATCTGTTTTTGTCCTATATCCAAGTAAGTTACTAGAACTACAGATGGGTAAAGTTTGTATTTATTTTCAAATCTAGAAAAATGAAATGTTTGTTTGCCAACAATTATTCTTATCTATATTTTTGTAGATAAGAGTTTCCCTTGATTTGAGTCTTTAAAAAACATCAAAATTAATTTTAGTAACAAGTATTTTCACCTTGGACAAGCTAGTGGTGTAGTGGTTAAGGTAGCTGGATCCCACATGGCCATTTGAACATTTGAGTCCTGGACCCAGCAGCTTGAAAAACATACTGAGCATGTGTGCATGCCTGTGTGCCTGAAATCCCGAGAGGAGGAGGGATTGTGATGTGGTGAGTGCCCTGTGGGGGATGACTTTTTTCTCTCTGTCTCTCTCTGGCACCCACACACACCCTATAGCAAGAAACTAAAAAGTAAAAAGATAGCTTTATCTTTGAAAAGGGGGAGAAATCTTTTTAAATTGTCTTTATGTAGAAATTAAGGAACCAAGATTTATCTTCATTTTAAATGACTTTATCTACTGATTTGTAGCTTCAAATTTTTTTTTTTTTTGAGAGTTTTTTGCTATAGGGCATGTGTGCTGGCCAAAAAGACAGAGACAGAGAGACAGAAAGTGAGAAATCAACCCTGAGGGTGGATAGCCACACCGCAATCCCTTCTCCTCTATTCTCCTCTCGGGATCTTGGATATGCACGCACATGCGCCCGGTGTGAGTTTAAGCCACCAGGTCCAGGACTCGAACCCTGGTCCACTACATGGGAGTCCAGCAACATAGCCATTACACCAACTGCTGGTCCCTCAGATAATTTTAAATATTAATAATTCTTTCAAGAATTATGTGGTGTTTAGGGTGCTGGACTCTCACATGGCAGACTATGGTCTGAGTCCTGGACCTAGTGACTTGCTTTCTCATTTTCCCTCTCTGTCTCGCTCTGATGAATTAAAAATAATAAATAAATTTAAATAAATAATTATTCTTTAAAAAGAATTCTGGTAGAAAAATGGAATTTTTTTCATTATTCATGATAAAATTGTGTACACATGAACGGGAGAGAGGGAGAAAGATGAGGACCTTCATGGTCATGCTGCATGACCCCTTCCTTCAGTTCTCCATGTTCGATGTTGGACACTCGTACACATGCCCCACGTGTTTCTGGCTGACCAGACAGGAATTTGCACTCTGGTCACTGCATGGCATCCTGTGTTTTTTGAGCAGCACGTTACTGCTGTGCCATAGATCCATCCCATAAATAGCAGAATTTTGTAATGGAACATATGATGACATATATATGCATAAACTTACAGAGAGTGAAAATATAAGTTTATTCAGAGTCATGGAAAAGGACTTAGCAGTCTAAGGAAAGGCTCTCTAGGCTAAGGATCTCCTAATCCAGAAAGCCAGATATCAAGTAAGTTCTCCAGATTGCACATTTGCAATATATTACTCTTAATTCTGAACTGTTTTGTATTGTCCCCTTAGCTGTTAGCAATAATATATGACATGGTCAAACTGTTGGTTGTTTCTCTGTAAAACTGTGTGCACAAATGAACCTTCCATTATGTTATTCAGTTTTGTTAATGTGAAAATGTTGCATTCTGTTCAAGTTTAGAGCTATTAAAGGCTCTCCTCCCCATCAATTAGGCATGTTTTCTTTTATTATTTATTCGAAGAGCTACAGAATTCTGTATGCCTTTAGGCTTGGCTGCCAGAAAACTCAGTAGGATTTTATATAATTGGTTCTTCTTCCATTAACTGTGTTCCCGGATGCAATGACCAGCCCTCTCCCCTCTTCAGTAGGCTTTTCTTACAAGTTGCCTCAAATTTTTTGCAAGTAGGGGTGTGAATAATAAGTGATTACTTGAGTCAGGTGCACAAAAGGAGCTTTGTTGTCATTGGTACATTCTTCACCTTCCACCTTCAGGCCAATCTGGCTTACGAATATGTGCAGGCAGGGTAACTCATCCAGGTTTAGCTATAGCACATGGTTATATTTAAACTTTGTGTGTATCTTACCCACAAGGGGCTGCCTATCTTTCCCCAGCTCTTTTAGAAGGTACATAGAACTGCAATTTCAAAGCAAAAAATGAATAAATGAGATGGTACCAGAGGAAGTGCTATTTAATCCACATATATTTTTATTTTGCAATCACCTGGAGCTTCCTAAATATTAATCTCTGCTTCATTTTGTTGTATTATTTAATTTTTAAGTATAGAAGAAATATATAATGAGGCAAAAGATTTTGCAAAAGAGTAATTCATTGGTTTATATGAAATTGGTGGTAGAAATTTTGCTCTTTTGAGCAAATAGTGTAGCTAATTGCTAGTTAGAAAATCTAAATGGAGGTTTTTCTTTGCAGCCGTTGAGGTTTGGGTTCTTTCAGACTTCTCTTTTTAAGGGGTTCTCATTGTGACCAAGAAGAAATTTTTATTGCACAATTATTTCCCTCTGAAGAGAAATCTTAGAAAAACATGAAACTGCCATACAAATTTAAGTAAAATTCTTTGACTTCTTAATTCCTATTTGGACAGTTTATCCAGAATTAGATTTCCCCTAGGATTAGAAGACTGAGGATTGGGAGAATTCAATTTCTCTCCTTTAAACAAATTTAAGAAGCTGTCTGACTATAAGATAGACTCTTGATTTATATTTGATGTTTAAGAGAAAAGCTGTAAAGTGTTACCAGTGTTAATACTTAGATCTATTTTAGATTTTCTCAAACATAAAAAAATACTGGTTTTTTTTAATCGAAAAGGAAAATATTTTTTTTTTTTTTGAGAGTTTTTTGCTATAGGGCATGTGTGCTGGCCAAAAAGACAGAGACAGAGAGACAGAAAGTGAGAAATCAACCCTGAGGGTGGATAGCCACACCGCAATCCCTTCTCCTCTATTCTCCTCTCGGGATCTTGGATATGCACGCACATGCGCCCGGTGTGAGTTTAAGCCACCAGGTCCAGGACTCGAACCCTGGTCCACTACATGGGAGTCCAGCAACATAGCCATTACACCAACTGCTGGTCCCTCAGATAATTTTAAATATTAATAATTCTTTCAAGAATTATGTGGTGTTTAGGGTGCTGGACTCTCACATGGCAGACTATGGTCTGAGTCCTGGACCTAGTGACTTGCTTTCTCATTTTCCCTCTCTGTCTCGCTCTGATGAATTAAAAATAATAAATAAATTTAAATAAATAATTATTCTTTAAAAAGAATTCTGGTAGAAAAATGGAATTTTTTTCATTATTCATGATAAAATTGTGTACACATGAACGGGAGAGAGGGAGAAAGATGAGGACCTTCATGGTCATGCTGCATGACCCCTTCCTTCAGTTCTCCATGTTCGATGTTGGACACTCGTACACATGCCCCACGTGTTTCTGGCTGACCAGACAGGAATTTGCACTCTGGTCACTGCATGGCATCCTGTGTTTTTTGAGCAGCACGTTACTGCTGTGCCATAGATCCATCCCATAAATAGCAGAATTTTGTAATGGAACATATGATGACATATATATGCATAAACTTACAGAGAGTGAAAATATAAGTTTATTCAGAGTCATGGAAAAGGACTTAGCAGTCTAAGGAAAGGCTCTCTAGGCTAAGGATCTCCTAATCCAGAAAGCCAGATATCAAGTAAGTTCTCCAGATTGCACATTTGCAATATATTACTCTTAATTCTGAACTGTTTTGTATTGTCCCCTTAGCTGTTAGCAATAATATATGACATGGTCAAACTGTTGGTTGTTTCTCTGTAAAACTGTGTGCACAAATGAACCTTCCATTATGTTATTCAGTTTTGTTAATGTGAAAATGTTGCATTCTGTTCAAGTTTAGAGCTATTAAAGGCTCTCCTCCCCATCAATTAGGCATGTTTTCTTTTATTAGATCGAAGAGCTACAGAATTCTGTATGCCTTTAGGCTTGGCTGCCAGAAAACTCAGTAGGATTTTATATAATTGGTTCTTCTTCCATTAACTGTGTTTCCCGATGCCATGAACTTCGAAGAGCTACAGAATTCTGTATGCCTTTAGGCTTGGCTGCCAGAAAACTCAGTAGGATTTTATATAATTGGTTCTTCTTCCATTAACTGTGTTCCCGGATGCAATGACCAGCCCTCTCCCCTCTTCAGTAGGCTTTTCTTACAAGTTGCCTCAAATTTTTTGCAAGTAGGGGTGTGAATAATAAGTGATTACTTGAGTCAGGTGCACAAAAGGAGCTTTGTTGTCATTGGTACATTCTTCACCTTCCACCTTCAGGCCAATCTGGCTTACGAATATGTGCAGGCAGGGTAACTCATCCAGGTTTAGCTATAGCACATGGTTATATTTAAACTTTGTGTGTATCTTACCCACAAGGGGCTGCCTATCTTTCCCCAGCTCTTTTAGAAGGTACATAGAACTGCAATTTCAAAGCAAAAAATGAATAAATGAGATGGTACCAGAGGAAGTGCTATTTAATCCACATATATTTTTATTTTGCAATCACCTGGAGCTTCCTAAATATTAATCTCTGCTTCATTTTGTTGTATTATTTAATTTTTAAGTATAGAAGAAATATATAATGAGGCAAAAGATTTTGCAAAAGAGTAATTCATTGGTTTATATGAAATTGGTGGTAGAAATTTTGCTCTTTTGAGCAAATAGTGTAGCTAATTGCTAGTTAGAAAATCTAAATGGAGGTTTTTCTTTGCAGCCGTTGAGGTTTGGGTTCTTTCAGACTTCTCTTTTTAAGGGGTTCTCATTGTGACCAAGAAGAAATTTTTATTGCACAATTATTTCCCTCTGAAGAGAAATCTTAGAAAAACATGAAACTGCCATACAAATTTAAGTAAAATTCTTTGACTTCTTAATTCCTATTTGGACAGTTTATCCAGAATTAGATTTCCCCTAGGATTAGAAGACTGAGGATTGGGAGAATTCAATTTCTCTCCTTTAAACAAATTTAAGAAGCTGTCTGACTATAAGATAGACTCTTGATTTATATTTGATGTTTAAGAGAAAAGCTGTAAAGTGTTACCAGTGTTAATACTTAGATCTATTTTAGATTTTCTCAAACATAAAAAAATACTGGTTTTTTTTAATCGAAAAGGAAAATATAATTAAAATAAATTTGTAAGGTATTTTCTAAAATTGTTCACATTCAAAATTCTACTGTGGTCAATAGGCAGGGAGATGCCATCCTATTTCTGGAATGTTAAAAAATATGTAAAGAACATGTATGTTAAAATCCATGAAATACAGCATCCATTTCTTAGTCCTAGAAATATTAATATTGACAGCCAACCATCAGAATGTATTCATGTCATCTGTAAAATGCTTTCATGTCTGTTATATCTTTTGATCTTTGTAACAGCTGTGTGAGTGGGTAAATTATGCCTCTTTAGAGATGAGAGCACTAGGCCTCTGAGAACTCAGGTACATTTTTTCCGAGACCTCAAAGCTAGAAAACAGTAACAGAAGGAGTGGATCTCAGTCATTTACTTGCTTCACACTACTGACCTCCCCCAGAAATAATGAAAAATAGGGGTGCAAATAAAATTTCCTTTTAAACAAATGATTTTTAAACAAGGGAGTTCAATTTGTTTAAAATTCTGTGTTGACTGTCTAATAAACGAGCAAGTAGATGGATTGCACCTTTGAGTTTTTTAAGCAAGTCCTCTGTATTAAAACAAAAAAGTATTGGGACCAGCAGATGGCATAATGATTAAGTCACTGGACTCCCATGTGGTTGACCATGGTTCAAGTCATGAATCCGGTGGCTTGACTCACACTGGTATGTGCGTGTGCATGCCCAAAATCCTGAAAAGAGAATGGAGGAGGGTTTGCAGCATGGCTGTCCTTCTTGGGAGGCAATTTCTTACTTTCTCTCTCTCTAGTGTGTGCTCATGCCCTATTGCAACAGTCTCTCTTAAAAAAAAAAAAAAAGGTATTTTGGGCATAATCTTGTGATTGAGTTTGACCTGATAAACTGCAGCTTTATTTCCTTTTTTGAAGTTAGACTCTAGCGGATCCATTATGTCTTTGTAGCTCCTGACGTCAAGTGCTGTCCACAAGTGGGGTACTGAAATTCATGAAGGAATCTACAATATGTTGATGCTCTTAATAGAACTGGTTGCAGAGAGAATAAAGCAAGATCCGATTCCCATTGGTCTCCTGGGCGTGCTCACAATGGTATGGTACCTCTGAAGTGAAGTACTTTGTGTTTTGATTTTTTTTTTAATACTTGCTAGTCTCTGACTTGTTACTGATAATGAGTGATAATGATTTTATCATTTAAGATATTAACTTAGCTATTAGGCTTCTTGCTTTATAGTTTAAAAGCAGAGCAAACATCTTGTGTTTCAGTTTGAAAGATGTACCTTTCTAATTTTAGTAGCTTTTTCAGCTTGTAGAATGATTCTTAGCTTTCCCTTCTCTGACCCTGATTATTTGCATCCTAAATACTGTCATAGGTGGAATTCACGTAGTTTAGTTTCTGGCCTTGTTCCCCAACAGGTAACAGTGGCTGCCTGAAGAACAGGCACTCACATTTTTTCCTTGTGTCTCCACGGGCTCAACTGCCCAGCTTACCCATGGCAGCCCTAGCATAGCTGCAGCATTGGCATCACCTTGTCTTGAGTCTGACCTCTCTCGTCCTGTCCCCGCCTCCCCTTCCTCCCATCCCCTCTGTGAATTGAGCGGGTGGAGGGAGAGCACACTGCATTAGCCCTCTGCTCCTCTGCACTCTCCAAGGCACATGCTTCATTGGTATTCCTGAAAGGTTCCATTAATGAAGGAGTCCACAGCTATATTTTTATCTTCTTTTCTAATGCTAATATGTGTTGCTATAGAAATAGATAATAATGTTTTTCTGTTCTCTTTGAATCTAGGCTTTCAATCCTGATAATGAATACCATTTTAAAAACAGAATGAAAGTGTCTCAGAGGAATTGGGCAGAAGTGTTTGGAGAGGGAAATATGTTTGCTATTTCTCCTGTATCTACTTTCCAAAAGGTAAACATAGTTTTGTCTCATCTTTTTTATAGAGAAATGTATTGAAAACATTTTTTTATTAAAATGGCCAGCTACATGGAAGGATTAAAGCAATCTGAAAAATGATGAGTATTTTATGTGGTTCATAAAATTGCTTAAAATATTTTTTAGATATTGCATATTTTTCCCAGTCCTTTTGCCTTCATGAGGTTAACTTTAAATATTATGAAGAATTTTATAGATTTGAAATTACATTTAGTGATATGAAAAATTACTTTGGCTTCAGTATGTTGTATATTGTATTGTCAGAACCCCAGCTTAACTGATGTTCTAGGTTTTTAAAGATATTTGAGAGATTAGAGCATTTGAAGTGATTTGGAATGACTAGTTATACCTAAAAAAGATCATCTGTTAGTTAATCTCATTTATCATTTTCTTTGAAACTCCATAAGCATTAAAACTTTCGCTTTGGGGCTAGGGGCTAGCAGGTGGTGTGGTGGTTATGGCACTGGACTCCCACATGACCAACTGTGGTTTGAGTCCCAGACCTGGCGGCTTGCTTTCTCACTTTCCCTCTCTCTCTGTGTGTGTCTCTCTCTCGTAAGCTCACATGCCCTACAGCAAAGTTAAAAAAAAAAGATAAATAAAATTAAATAATTTTTCAAAAATTAAATAAAATAAAACTTTTGCTTTTTCAGGCTCAGAAGCAATACTGTTTGGTTCGGGAGCAGTGGTTGAAAGAAGTCAAGTTTAGTTGACAAAAAAAATCTTTTCTTTGCTTAAACTGAAGCAGAAGTTAGTTCAATAGTCATTTGTTTAACATTTACTATGAGTCTGACATTATTCTCAGTTTTGAAGATATAAATACAAATAAACAGCCTTTGTCTCTAATATAAAGAGTGATAAGTTATATTTTCTAGGTTATAGTATAGTGGAAGAAATATGAAAAAAATTACAGCATAATAAACAGCAGAAACAATTATAACAATATCTGCTGTACAGAGGACTCAGGAGAAAGTAGTCACAGGCACCTTGGCAGGTCAGGCAGCCTCCCAGGGAGGAGGTAAGAGCCTTCCGGCAAGGCAGTGAGTATGTGCTTTGGAATTTAATCTCTATAACTCTGCAAGTTGAGTACTGTTTTTATCCCTATTTGATAAAGAGAAACTGAGACAGATAGGTTACATACTTCCCTGAGTTATTCTTGTGGTTGCCTTAAAATTTTAATTTATTAACTAACCAAAACTTAAATTTCATCAGTATCTTTATTGCCCCTGAGCAGTACATAAATTTCTTAGAATGTTTCATGTGATCACTTCCCACCTGACTTACTATCTCTTTATTAGGCATTGTCTTTAATCGTCTTCTTTTGACTTCATAAAGTAGAGAGTGTATTCTATAAAGTCTCCTTTAGTAAGTGTTCCTTGGTGGTTCAGTCTTTATTTTTGATGGTCTAAACTTAACTCTATTTTCCATTTTTTGAAGAAAGTTTATACTGAGTGTTGAATTCTGGAGTGAGTCTTGGTTTTTGTCAGAATATTACGGATTCCATTTCACTGTTTTCTGGCCTTGATTATTGCTATTAAAAAGTTGGCTGTTGGTCTGCCTGTGGTTCCTTTGTTAAAAAGTATGTCTTTCTTTCATGGCTGTATTTTGAGATCTTGTCTTTCTCTTTGATGTTTATCATTTTGACTTCTATGTGATTAACCGAGGTCGTCTTATCATTTATTTTGCTTTCGACTTTTTGGGCTTCCAAGTCTAAGGATTAGTATCTTGTATCAATTCTGGAAATTTCTCAACCATTATCGTTTTTTTTTTTTTTAAGAGAGATTTTTTTGCTATAAGGCATTTGTGCTTGCTGGAGAGACAGAGACAGAGAGACAGAATGTGAGAAATCACCCCCCAGAGGGGTGGCCATGCTGTAATCCCTTCTCCTCCATTCTCCTTTTGGGATCTTAGCATGTACACACACATATGCCTGCATGAGTTTCAAGTCACCAGGTCCGGGACTCAAACCACTGTCTACCACATGGGAGTCCCAGCAACGCAACCACTACACCATCTGCTGGTCCCTCAACCATTACCTTCCTAAGTGTCACCTCTTCTCCTCCAGTCTCTTTGGGAACTGTGACTGGACATACGGTGGACTGACTGTCTCTATCCTACATGTCCTTTAAAGCTTGCAGATTTTCCATCTTTTTGTTTCCTTGTGCTGCATCTGTGACAATTTTTTTTCCAGATCTATAATTCAGTTCATTATTTTTTTCTACTAATCTAATTTGCTATTGAATCCATATGTTAAATCTTTAATTTTATTTACTTTATTTTTCATGTCTATAAATTCTGTTTTGTTCTTTTTGACTCCGTTTAGTCATTTTTTTATTGTCTCATGTTCTTGACTCATACTTTCAATCCCCAGTTTGTTTAATGCCTAATTTATATTCTGTACCTGAAATTGATAGGTTTGATTCTGCTGGCTTTACTCACTGGTTTTCTGTGTGTAGATAAATATGTCTGTTTATTTGTTTGTTTGTTTTTCTGTGAACTTATATTTCTTTGAATTTTATCTAAGGGATTTTTTGAGACCTGACTTGAAAGTTCTTTTCTCCAAAGAGAATTTGCATTTACTTTTTCCAGGTGCCTAGGAGCATTATGACCTGGGATCACAATAGAATAAATTCTCAGCTTAAGATTTGTCAGACCACAAAGTTAGTGGGAATTTGAGCAGCAAAGCCAATGTGAATATGAGGAAATTCTGTGGTTGCAGGGTCATAGCGCATATTTTTCTCTCTTCCACCCAATACCAGAGTCCACATAGGCTGGCTTTCTTATTTCCCCTTCCTGTAGGTAGATGCATTTCAGTCCATCCTACACTGAGGACGTGTGTATCCCCTTTAGGTTCCTGCTTTGCATTGTGGTCTCATCTGAGTCACTCTGGCTTTCTGTCACTTCTTAGGAAAGAAAAAGCTTGAGGTCACTGGGTCTCCACAGAAGCCCGAGGGGCAAAAGCTGTCTTCAGACACTGCTTGCCTCACAGGATTCTTGCTTTCTCTTTGTTTTAAACTTCTACATTTTTTTTTTTTTTTTTTTTTTTGCTGCCCATTCAGCTGTATGTTTTAAAAGATCTTAAAACATGTTTTCATTCAGTGGTGTTAGTTATTTTCAGTTCAGTTGGAGAGCTATTTAGGGGAACTAGACTGAAATCCCCATGAACTCTTCAGGGCATTCTATTCTACCATCTTTTGCCACCGGGCACTGAAATCCCTCTTGTTAGGGCACCAATACCCTCCATTCCACATCAGAAGGAGTTGTTCTTGACCCCACCAACAACTTTGAACATAGTTCCTCCCTCCTTGACACTGTTTCTTCCTTGGCCTTTAGGACAGTGGAGTGTCTTGGGTTTTTTTTCCTATTCCCTTTCTTTTGTTGACTTCTTCACCCTTACCCAGCATGGGTCCTTTATTTACTAAGCTTTCCCTAAGAAATATTTTCCATCCTTAAGGATCGTAATGTCATCTTTATGCCGATGGCCCTCTAATTTTTTTTTTTTTAAATCTGTGATGCAAACTCTTCTCTGAGTCCAGCAGACTCAAGGAGTCAGCTGTCTCCTCTTGGTTGCCACAGGGTTCTGAAACTTGGCGTGACTAACATAAAACTTATTCTTCCAAGGCTTCTTGCTTCTTCTCAATAAATAGCATTGCCATCTTTCTAGATCCACAAGTCAAAAACAAAGGAGTCAGTCTGTTCACCCCTTTTTCTTACTCTCCACATGCAAACCATAGCGAGTCCTTTCGTCAGCCTCAGGTGTGCCTCCAGGTGACCTCTCTCCCTCTCTCCTGCTTCCATCCTGCTCCGCACACAGCAACATCCTCTCTACTCACTGCTCTGGTCTCCTAGCTGGTTGTGTCCAACGACTCCTTGCTCTCCCATCCACTCATTCATTCCATTCTATACAGAACCTCAGGACTGATCTTCTTAAAACACAGAACACAGGGACCAGCAGGTGGTTCGGCAGCTAAAATGCTGGACTCCCACATGGCCAACCACGGTTCGAATGTCGGACCTGCCAACTTGAAAATCATGCTGAGGACTGTTTGTACATGTCCAAAATCCTGAGAGCAGAGTGGAGAGTGGAGAAGGGATTGCGGTGTGGCCATTCCATCCCCCAGGGGGGTGATTTCTCACTTTCTCTTTCTCTCTGTCTCTCTCCAACAAACACACATGTACCCTATGGCCGAAATAAATAAATAAATACATACACACACACACACACACACACACATTCTTGCTGTGAACACTGTTGTTGCAGTCTCCAGTTTTTATTTGATCTGGCCTTTGCCTTGCTCCAGCTCATCTATACTGCTGTCTTCTGGCTTACCATGGCCCAACTAGAAGGGTTTTCGTTTCCTCTTTCCTTTTCTTTTCCTCTGGCTTTTCAAACCCAGTCGACTCTTCTCTGCTTTCCCCAAACAGAACCTTTGCAATTTCAGTCTCACTGCTTGGTCTGTTCTTAAATAGCTAAGGCTGTTTCATCCTTTAGCTTCTAGCTTAAAGACTTCCTCTTCAGGGGCTGCTCTCTTAGCACAGAGGTTAAGTGCTGTGTGGAGAGAGAAAGTCGACTTCAGTTCGAGTCTTGGCCACACCAACTTGAAAAACATTGTGGGCTCACGTGTGCAAGTGCCCAAGGTCCTGTGGGATAGAGAAGTGGAGCAAATGGGATTGCAGCATGACCATGTTTCAGTGAGGAGTGCAAAAAAGACATCTTTAGAGAGGTCTTTTATGACCACCACCCTGAGTAGGGAAGGCTCCCTTTTATTTTTTTTTTCATTTTTATAGGAGCTTTTGTGAGACTGAGCACAATTTAAATTATCTTATGAATGTGGCTTACTTAGTTTTGTTGGCCCAGCTAGAATATGAGCTCCATGAAAATAAGTCCCACATCTCTTCTAGGTCAGTGTTCAGACCTACCCCCTAGGACTGTATATGCTCAGAACATGAAAGAAAAGAAGAAAAAGAGAAAAGAAAGAGCTTACTTCAGGGCACTAATTAATGACACAGCTGGGACTAAAACTTTAATCTCTTCATTACTGATTTACAGATCTTTTTCTTTTTTTCTTCCAGTTTTTGCTTTAAGGCACATACACTCACCGGAGAGAGACAGAAAGAGAGGGAGAGTGAGAAATCAGCCCCCAGGGTGGATGGCCACACTGTAATCCCTTCTACTCCTGTCTCCTCTTGGAATTTTGGACATGCACACATGCATGCCTGGTGTGATTTTCAGGCTGCCAGGTCCAGGACTCAAACTGTGCAGGCGGCCATGTGGGATCCAGTGCCTTAACATCCATGCCACCTGCTGGTCCTACAAATCTTTTTTTTTTTTTTTTTTTTTTTTTTTTTT